TCAATAATGTGACTTTATTTCTAAGAAATTATTAGATAATCTTGTAATACGAAATGATGAATTATTTAGAATTAAAAATTCTCGAATTAAATTCTTAAGTTAATTTTTTATGCTTTCCGCTAAAAGTATAGTTAATTATTTTATTAAGTCTACAGTCTATGGGTAAAGTAAAGTTAATCTAGTGACGTTTCGATCCATGCGGGTCAGGGCGTTACACCTAAAGGTGTAATGCCACTATTATTTATGTGAAAAGAAAATGAGAAAAATGAAGTCGTAATATACCATGCACAAATCTCAGAATAATGAATTTTGTAAATACTTACAATGCAATAACAAGTCGATATCTTGTTAGCCTATTCTCAGAATAATGAATTTTGTAAATACTTACAATGCAATAACAAGTCGATATCTTGTTAGCCTAGAAAACACATGAAATTTGACATGTTTAACAAATATAATTATGTCCAACATACATGGCATGCATGATACTAATATAAAAAATCCCTAAAAGATTTAACATGCTAGAAATATATAGTTCAAGTTTCTAGAAAAATTATTCGATCAGAGTACACAAATACTTTGAAATCTGAACTAATGTAGTATTATCATCTTATTGAATATTTGTTAAAAGTATGGTATAAGAATGTGAATCTATGCCCATGCGTTTCCAAATATAAATCGGTATTTGGATTGGTCATTATCATTGTTGATGATTCAAACATTATTGGAATTCATAGAGTTTCCAGAGCAGTTGATTACTTAAATAAGAATTCAAAAGGAAAGATCTTGAAAAGTAAACTTTTCCCTCCACCTGTTGATAGAGAATTTAGCCTATTAAAATCTAGATCATCATTCAACTTACATAGAAAAAATCTTTAAAAAATTTCATTTAAAAAAAATGTCAGGTTGTTTGATACCTAATGGCCATTTGTTCACTTGAATTTTTATCATTGAGATGTTAATGAAAAATTTTGTTGATCCTAAAGTACCATAACTTAGTGCAAAAGATGAAGTAGTGATCTTACTAATAGTTCATGCTTCAAAACTTGTTTATTATGACTATGCAATGTATTATT